AGTTGGGGAACCCCCTTAACCAGCCTAAGCAACTCCGTGTCCTCAGAGGAAAATGTGACTGACCATGCAACAAAACGCTGACCTAGTGACCTATGCCATCTCCTGTCCAAAGAAAGACGGCATTAGTCAAGACAGTGGTCACCAGAGTGTGACCTGTAGGGATTTGTACTGTATTGCCCAGAACCCGAGGGGCATATTTGGGAGTTTGTGCTGCCTGTGCTGAATGATCCTGGCAGTGACTCCATGAGTATGGTGGGATGTCACTCAGACCCATCCAATTCTTCTCTGAGGTCACACTCACTGGTCAGTCCCTAGCTGGTGCCCAGACACAAGCCAGAGGCTAGGAAGGTGGCCATCAGTGTTCTGAGAAAGTATAAGTCCCTCTGGAGATTGATGATGCCTGAAAGCCTGATATACAGCAGGATCTTTGCAGTATCTATCACACAGAGGCATGCATGAATCCCGGTACAAGGACAGCTTTTCTGTGAGTGTAAGTAAGACCCCGTGGGGAATATGGGAAATATTGTCTAAGGAGAAATGACATTTTGAAAAATGGCACAGGCTTTGTACTCAGACAAGCTTCAGCTCTGCCAGGCTCTCACTGTATATAACCACAAGCAAATTACTTAACATGTCTAGTCTCAGTTTCTGCATCTCTAAAATGGGGATAATGTCCACCAATCATTGAATCTAGTGAGCAATAGTAATAATAGTAATAGATAATATATATTAAGGGCTTACTATGAGCCAGGCTCTGCCTTAAACACTTTACATATACTAATACACTTAGTCCTCCCAATAGCCTCAGGTGGGAGGCACGTTAGTCTCTCCATTGGAGGGAGGAAGGTGGGGAAGGCCCTAGCAAGTCTAAGCATGGCCTCAGACTGCATCAACTGAGCTGCTCACTAGGCCAGCCTCATGCAGTCAGGTCCCCAGACACACTCCCCTGACTTCCTGCAGGCATAGACTGAGGGCCAAGGCCCTTGGCTTCAGGAAGACCCAGTCACCCATGATGCCCAAATGCTCACTTCCACCCAGGGTGGGCTCTGGGCTCTGGCTGCCTTGGCCTGGGCTGGGTGCCCAGAACAGGCAGGCCTGGCTGGATGGCTTTCCCTGGCTCTGGCCATGGGGACAGGAGGCAGCGGCCCAGCTGGGCCCTGGCCGTAATGAGGCCTCATTAGTGGGATCCAGCTGCTCCAGCCCCACTTATGGAGGCTGACTCCCCCAGCCCCTGCCTCTGACTTTTCTTAATAAGAGTGGGCATGCCTCCAGAGGGGCAAGGAGTCTAGGGGCTTTATTGTCCCCTGTGACTCTGGAGGGAAAGGCCCGCTGAGCTAGGACTAAGGAGTGCTCGGAATGCGGGGGCAGGCTGGGGAAGTGAGGCTGTGTGGCTGAGTAGATGGGCCAGAAGGAAGGTGGGAGGGGAGGGAGGGTAAGGTCCTAGCGCCATGAAGCCTGAGGAAGGCAGGGCCTGTTCCTCTGAATCTAGATATTCCACTGCACTGGAAAGGTGTATCTGCTCATCTAGGTTCAGCAGAAGACCATGGCTCAGGCTGTCCTAGTCGGGACAGCAGCTCCTCATATAGACCTCATAAGGAGATATGAGAGTGCCCACTACATGCCAGTCCCTGAGCAAGAAGAGCACCTAATGCACGCTAGGACCTGCATGAGCAGAAAACCCACTGTGTGCCAAGTCCATTGCTGGAAGAATACACATCATGTGGCATGTATGTGCCAGGACAGTGCCCATGTGTGCCAGGTCTAATGCTGAGAGAGCTCTCACTATGTGTCTACTCCATGCCAAGTGAACCCCTGTGCTACGTCCTACGCTAGATGAGTACCCTGTGTATGCCAATTTCCATGCCAGGAGAGGACCCAACGTACGCCCATCCTGAGCTGGGGGAGCACCTGCTGTGCACCTGGCACTGTGCTAGATGAATGCCCACTGGGTGGCAGACTCTATACTAAGGAAGTGCCCAAGGTGTGCCAAGTCGGTACTAATTGAACATGTGCCACATGCCAAGACTTGTGCTAAGTGAGTGCCCAGGAGTAACAGGCCCTCTACAAAGAGTGCCCAATGTGTGCCAAGCTCTGTGCTCAGTGACTTCACAATGTGTGCCAAGCCTATACTCATTGAGCACTTGCTGCATGCCAAGACTAGACTGGGTGAGCACCCACTGTGTGCCAGGCCCTGTGATGGATTGTGCAGATAAGAGGTACAGAAACCCTCATGTGAAAGCATAAGAGAACAGGGCAGGGAGTGGCAGGCCCAATGGCCACAGAGCCTTCTGGGATTTATGTACTCTGGCACCCAGAGCCCTAGCGCCAGAGTGACTGTGCTCTTATTTATCATGAGGCTGCTGAGAGGCAAAGGTAACCAATGTCTTCAGAGATATGGGCAGAAGCTAAGGCCCTGGCTGAGCCACTGGCTTCAGGAAGACCCAGTCACCCATGATGCTCATGGGTGTGAGGCTCACCACAGGCAAGGGGACTGAGACAGCCAGCTTGGCTTCAGATAATGGGTTAAAACTGAACCAGTGGGTGACTGTCTCCTGCCCTGGGCTCCCCTCCTCCAGCTCCTGTCCTTTGAGACCCAGGCATCTCTGCTGCCCTACACGTATACAGAGGCCTTAGGTCTCCATGGAAGGTCCACTCCACCCATCCCCGGTGCCCCCAAGCATCCCAGCTGCTCCCAGGCTTGGAGGCACCCTGGCCAGCTGGGTTCTTGCACGGCCCTGTCCTAGGAGCTGCTGAGGCGTGAGGGAGGCAGCTGAGCTGGCCTGGCAGAGACCATCTGGGCTAGGAGTGGGGGGAGAGACACGTGCAGCAAGCATGTGGGCCTGGGCACGTGCTGGGAAGTGACTTGCTCCTCCATGGGGCACCTGCTCCAGAGCCTGGCAGAAGCTCTATGTCTGTTCACATTGAGGAGACCTTATTGGCTCAGGTCCTCATACCTGAACTTGAAGTAAAAGGCAATAGAAGTGAGGTCCCCATGATAGGGGCTAGCTGCCCACTCCCAACATATCAGGGCACAAACAGGGTACTAGAAACCACAGAGAACTGGGAAGGTCCAAGTGCCATCAGTTTACATGCACACCCATCATTACCCTCTCTTCTGACCTACCATGGACCATGGCATCCAAAGAGGGAGCATGTCAGAATGGAACTTCCTCAGTCACTTGCCCTTAGAAAGACATAAACACCTAATAAGTGCTGACTTAGCTCCTACATCAGTTAGCAGAGACGGGGCTTGGCAGGGGCCGACCTCAGAGGCTGTATCCTAGTGACAAGCACTGAATGGAGTGCTTCAGTTCTAAACTGGGACCCAAGAATAGCGTAGTCCAAGGTCATCAGCAGAACTGAAAAAAGAGGCAGGAATAGAATCTCCAAGCAACCACTCGGGGTGCCCATGGGACAGATGCTATGAGCCTCAAACACAGCAGTGGGCAGAAGCCAAAGGGCAGAGGGCATAGAGAAAAGCAAGCCTCGGCTATCTTTAGGCACATCCTGGTGCTGGGAACAGTGGTCCCAAGGCAGCGTTCTCTTCACAGACAGCCTGGCCAGTCTGGCCAGAGAATACGGTCCAGGAAGCCCAGCCAAGGCAGGGATTGTGGGACCTCGTAATTCATGCTCTCCATATGGGCCCCCCATCTCTCCTGCCTGTCTACTCTAGCCCTTCCAGGGTCACTCTAGAGAAGAACACTCATGGAGTGCTCAGAAGGTGTCCTGGGTGCACAGGGCTCAGAACCTCCATAGCAGGAAGGGGCAGAGCCACGACCCACTTTCTTCTTAGGCCCATGGCAATTCCAAACCTTCTTGGGGGAAACCAGGGACCTTGTTTGCATTCTAACACAGCATCCACTCCTAGCAAATGTCCAGGTCCTAAGCCCTTCATCTGTGCCCATTTCCGAGGATCCAGGGTGGCTCAGGAACACCTTCAGATGCTCCAATCAGGAGCAGCTGCTCAAAGCAGCTTTGAGGGGCTGGATGAGAGGGTGCATCCTGGAAGTTCAGGACAGGGTTGGAGCAAACCGCCCAGTCCCCTCCCTCAAATCATTCCCTGGACCAGGTAAGTACTTGAATTCAGAAACGTTGGGTGAGAGACAGGGTTAGTCTGGGGAAGGCTCAGCAGAGACCTCGGACCAATCAGTTTTCAGATGAATGAGAGAAGCAATGGAAGGCACCAGTGGGGAGAGAATTTCATGAGGGAGGGACTGTCCTCAATCACAGGCTTCCTCCCCTGACAGCTGCCCAGTCTGGCTTGTCCCTGGGGCAAGATCCCAAGAGAAAAATACAACCCTGGCCTTCTGGATAGAAAGTGGCATCTTTTTCCTTGTCCCTCTTCTGGTGCCAACCTGCTCCATCCATCAATAAGCGTTGCTCCCTCTAAAACCTCACCGAGCCCTTGTTTCTCAAAGGCCTCATCACCACCTCTCATGTGCTCTGAGACAGAGGGCAAAGGAAGGGCCATGGCTTGAGGAAGAGGAATAGGGAGATTTTCTTGGAAGCCTCGGGAGAGGAATCAAGGGAAACGTTCTTTTCCTAACATTTTGGAGTAAGAAGGAACCAGAGAAGTAAAGAAAAAAGAGACAGGTGTGAGGACCCCTTGGTCAACACATACTGAACATGTCCTGTGGCACAGCACTGGGTGGGTGTGTAAGTGGCCTCCTGTCCTCCCTGCAGGCTGAGCTGTGTCCTCTTAAGAGCACCTCTTGTGACGAGGACAGGGGAATGTGCCTCCTGCCCCTTAGCAGGCCTCTGCAGGGTCTGGGTCTGTGGTGGAACCTGTCCTGCTGTGGGCCTGGAGCCCGCTTCTGTCTAACATGCTGGGTCAGGGACTGCCTGGCTGGGCCTGGGGCAGCCTGCACATGTGGGAACCTGCACATGCTGCCCCTTGGAGGCTCCTGGGCCCTCTGGTCATGGAAAACAGCTGGAGGGAGGTTACGGGGCAGTGCATGTCACAGCCCTCCCACCCCCCAGAGTCCAACCCTTGTACTCACCAACATCCCTTTGGCACCTTTTCCTACCATGGTGGCAGTGGTTTGGGGTCTCTGAAGACCAGATCACACTTACAAGTTCTGCTTCCAGCACCTTTTAGACCACGGACCTCAAGAGCTGTGGAGAAAGTAGAGAGTGAGGTGAGGCCTGGGGCAGGCCACACATGGACCTTGGAACTCTCCAGGAACAGGTAGCAGAGAACCCCACACCATCAGCTGAGGCCCTATGTCGCTCCCACCCTGGCCCGCCCCTCTGCCAGGTCATTCCTCATCCTGCAGTCTTCTGGATGACTCTCAGGTCCAGCCCCTTCCCAGCTCTCCCTCCAACCCTTCCCCTGGATCTCTTATTCTCCAGGCTTCCTGTCCCAATGGGCAAAGGTCTATTTTTGACTCTCCAGATGCCCAATCCTATAAAAGATAAAAAACGAACACAAAACTGGGATGGGGTCCAAGTCCCTCATCATCTGTGTGAATGGCCACAACCTTTCCCAGGAGGGGAGTCAGCTCCGGCCAGCACTTGCTCCCCAACCTCAGCCCAGCTAGGCAGTCCTTCCCCACCCTGATGCCCCTCGGCTTGGGCTCCAGGGTGATGGAGCTTGTTGCTGCGTAACTCATTTACTCTAGACACGCCAGACATACCAGGTGTAGTCATGCGCCTTTCTTTTGCTCTGGCTGTGCCCAATTTTACAACACCTTCCCTCAGGTGCAATTCTGCAAGTCCTTTAGGTCTGGGCTTAAATATCACCTCCTCTCCATAGCCCTTCTGGACACTTCCCCCACCAGCATGAACAAACTGCTTCCTCCTTTCTGTTTTGTGCAGGTTACTACTAGTGCTCTTATCATCTCATATTACACTTATTTGCTTTTAAGTCAATCAAGCACAAGTAGGTGAGTCCCTGAGGCCTTGTAACTGGGCTTCCTTCACCCCACTGTTCCCAGCACCTAGCACAGTGCTAAGCTAGTAAGAAGTGTTGGTTGAGCTGAAATGAAGGGTAATGGACAGGGCCAAGGCATGTGAATGTCACCCAGGTCAGCCTGGGATCTTATAGGAAGCACCTACAAGGCCATGCAGGAAAGTAAGCTGGCGAGGGTGGCAGACATGCGGAAGGAGCCAATCACATGGCAATGATCGTGCAATTTTTATTGAATGTGAGATGTGGAGAGAAAAGAATCAACCTTCAGAGAGACTTAAAGAGCTCCCGTGGGTCAGACGGGTGAGGAGACACCCTCCATAGGGCCAAGGAGGATTTGGCTCTGTCTCTGAGCCCTTCCCTTCCTTCTCAAGGGGCAGACTCCACTCTAAAGGCTATTCCAGGTCACTCTGTCTCACCTGTCAAGGGCCACCTCTCACCCACAGGAAGTCATTAAAAGGCTGTGGGAGAGGTAAGGACCTCTTTGCCTATGCAAATCTGGTCTTGACTTCCTTATGCCATTTGCCCTGGCCATTGGGTCTCATGCAGGGCCTTCTCCTTAGGACAGCTTCTCTAGTCACTGACCCAGGCTGGCGTCTGCCTCTCCTAAAGAGGCCCTGCTCATGGCTTTTGTATTCTGGAGGCAGTTGGGAATAAAGAGGACTGTGTCCTTCATAAGGGGATACACCCTTGTCTTCCTCAACCACTGTACCCCTGAACCCACTTTCTTGCTGTGAACTCTGGCTAGATTTGACTTCCCTAAAGCTATTTCCCCTCAGGCAAGGAGTAATAATAACAATGGTGATAGTAATAGTAATGATAGCAGATGGCATTACTATAGGCCCTCATGGGTCAGGTGAGTGACCAAGAACACTCTGTTGTGGGACTTCAACCACAGTGTTCTCATTCAGGTTACCCCAGAGACTGACTTGGAGAGATTACAGGCCTGGCCTACAGTGGGGGCCTGAGTGAGCTTTTCAGACCTGACATCTGGAGTTAGGGATGTTGCTCAGTGGCAGAACACTTGCCTAGCATGTGTGAGAGTCTGGGTTCTATTCCCAGTAATGCAAAAGCAATTAAAGAACATCTCTGACTGGGAGACCAGCCACACCCAAAATCTAGGACCTGGTAGGTCTGGGCTGGATTCTGGCGCTGCCAGTCACTAGGTACATGATTCCAAGTGTTGCTTAATCTCATTTTTTGTTTTTGTATTGGGGATTGAACCCAGGAGTTCTATCACTGAGCTACATCCCCAGCCAATAATTGTAGTTGGATACAATACCTTTATTTTATTTATATATTTTTATGTGGTGCTAAGGATTGAACCCAGCACCTTGCACATACTAGGAGAGCTCTACACCACTGAGCCACAAATCCCAGCACCCCCACCCCTTTTTTATCTTTGATTTTGAGACAGGGTCTTGCTAAATTGCTGAGGCTGATCTTAAACTTGTGCTCCTCCTGCCTCAGTCTCCTGAATTGCCAGGATTTCAGATGTGCACTGCTCCCAGCCTGTTTAACCTCTTCGAGCCTTAGTTTTCTCAGTCTTGGAAGTGGGGCTAATCATTCCACAAATTCTGAAGTTTCTGCCTCATTTTTGTTTCTACTACAAGGCCTCCACACTTTCTTCCCCTCCAATCTGTTAATCTCTCCAAGTCCCAAAGTTCTGGTTCCCTGTGATAGTTCTCCATAGCCCACAGGATATGGCCTACATTGCTTAGCAAGGCATTTAAGGCTGGTCACAACTAAATTCATTTATTCAACAAATACTAATTGCAGGTCTGCTCTGGGCCAGACCTTTGTTAGGTCAAGAACTCAAAGGTCTCTGCTCTCCCGCAGCTTACACTGGGTGAAAAGCTGAATGAGTGCCACTGATGATTCAAACTAAATAATTACAGATTGAGATAAAGGGTGTGATGGAAAAGGATCCTTTTATGGATCTCTATAGCAGGTCTGAGAGTCAGAAAGGCTTCCCTGAGGAAGAGATGTTTAAGGGCCAGAAGGAGTTAATTAGGCAAAGGGGAGATAGAAAGGAAAATAAGGGAGGCAAATGGAGAAAATGAAAGTATATGGGAAGGCTCACTACCCCTGGGAGGGGCTCAGGTAGCCAGGGAAAGAGGTGAAGGTTGTCAAAGAAACAGGGGGAGGCCTTTAGGGTCTGGAGTTTGGTCTTCATTATAATAGTAATGGTGGCTATTGAAGGCTTTTAAGTAGAGGATCAACTGGATGGGAAAGGATTGCTGGGATGTGCAGTTGCAAGAATCACCCTAGATACGGTGTGAAGAAAAGACTGGAAGGAGGCGAGAGTAGAACTCATTAGGAATGGGTCAGGCCAGAGAGGAAGGGGCTAGAATCAGGCCAGTGATGACAGGAAAGGTACACATAGCTGAGAGAAATTTACAGGATAACATGGTGGGACTTGGTGATGAATTACACTTCCAGGGGTAGTGAAAGACAAAGAGGGGTCTCTGGTTTCTGCTAGTGCAATGAGAGGAAAGCTGGTGCCAGTCCCGAGCACAAGGATACTGGTGGTGCTGCAGATCTGGAGGGCAAGAGGATCAGCTGGGCTGGACAAGCTGGCTTTGAGCCATTTGTGAGCCACCAAGGTAGATGCTGAGAGGGCAGTCACAGTCCCCTCATTGCTGGCGTCTTTCCTCTCTTCCAAAAGGGAATGGAGCCTTGACCAATTTGAAAGATCCCTCTAGACCAAGCCTTGGAGTCCTTGCTGGGAATGAAAGGTCTTTCCTGGCTTCAAGAACCTCACAGTTTAGTAGGAAGATACAGGAAGAAGCATAATCTTCATTCACTGGGATGGAGGTAGTGGAGGGGCAGTGGGAAGTGGGGAGTCTTAGGTCAGCCTGGGAGTCCAGGCCAGCTACCTATGGCCATGTTTGCCATGAGGCATTCCCAGAAGGCTCCTGTCTCTATGCCCTTGTTCAGGCAATGGCAGTGTCTCTGTCTCTCTGATACTGGGGGATTTAATTTAGGGGTGCTCTACCACTGAACTACTCCCCTGACCCTTTTAAATTTTTATTTAGAGACAGGATCTTGTAAGTTGCTTAGGACCTCACTAAGTTGCTAAAGCTGGCTTTGAATTTGCAACCCTCCTGCCTCAGCCTCCTGGAATTACAGGAGACGACCACCACAATGGATGGTGAGAAATTTAGAGGATAACATGGTGGGACTTGGTGATGAATTACACTTCCAGGCCCCCTTTTAATTTTTTTTCCTTAATTTTGTGAAGGTATCTCACTAAGTTGCTGAGGCTAGCCTGGAATTTTCAATCCTCCTACTTCAGCCTTCTGAGTAGCTGGGATTGCAGGTGTGCATCACCATGAGCTCTTCTCACCATTTCACCTGTATATACCCTACCTATCTTCAAAACCGGATCCAATGCCATTGTCTTCATGAAGCCTTCCTCCGTCCTCCTAGTTACTGTCAACCTTTCTACCATATCCCCAAATCACTCCATGCACTCTGACTAGTATGCTGGTCACATGTAGCGTTGCAGCATGCTTCCCTGAGTCCAAGTCTGGCTACCCCACTAATTGGAGAGCTCTTCCAGGGCAGAGGTGTGGTTCTTCTGTGTCCTCAGAGCGGGTACAGCTGCAGTCCCCGCGTAGACAAGTAAGGGGGCGTTTTCTCTCTGCGGTCCTTGGAAACGCTTGGGCATGCTCAGTGTTCCCCATTAGTTTCTAGAACCAGTCCCCTCACCCACTACTCTTCAACCTTCTGTTGCCTCACTTTGAGGGTTTTTTAACCTCTCAAGTTCTCTCTTTTCCCACTCCTTCCTCAACAGCCTTTATTTCCGAAGTGGTAGCAGACTGAAGCTTGCTTCAGCTAAGATACAGACCAGGCTTTGTAAAGGAGCTGTCAGAGAGCGAGAGAGACGCGGCTCCTTTAAGAGTGATCAGAAGGGGGCGTGGCCTGCGGAGAGCAGGCCCGAAATGGGGGTGCGGCTCCTTTAAGTAGCGGCCGCCAACTACGCCTAGGCCCTGGGCCCGCGGGCAGGGGCGCGGTCATTTTTGGAGCTGCGGCCCCGCCCCGGTCGCCCCAGTTCGGTTTTAATCGGGGGACAAGGTGTGGAGGGGCGGGCGTTACATCAGCCACCACGTGTGGGCCTCTCAGCTGGCGCGGAGGAGGCGGCCCCGCCCCCGGCCCCTGCC